GCAGGACATAGGCCGTATCTTTGTAAACTATGTCCGCGTACCTTCTTATTATCTCATCATCTAACAAGACACATGCGTACACATTCCGTCGAGAAGCGTCACGTTTGCGAGGATTGCGGCAAGGCATTTAAACGTAAGGAGAGCCTCGAGGTACATCTTTTGACTCATACTAAACGGAGCGGCATGGGCTTGACCTGCGACGTTTGTCAAGAGTCATGTCGCAATAGAGCGGATTATGTTACCCATATAAAGCAGCACATAGAGGCAGGCGAGAAAATGGGACCGGACGGTTTACAGCCGGACAATAAGAGTAAAATTGAATTGGATTCGGAAGAGGAGGAGGAGGAGGAGGAACAATATTCCGATGGCGACGACGATTATGAGCCACCGGCATACATAATTAAAAAACTTCCGAAGAGTAAGCCTACCGAGAGCGAGGAAGAGGCCGATAGAGTCGACAAAGAGGATCGTAAAGAGCATGTAGTATATGTCAGAGGTAAAGATGGTAATATGATGAAGAAGACGATAAAAACATTGATGCCCGTTCAACGTAGAGAGGTACAAGATACGAAACCTAAAGCGAGTCCTAGCAATACGCCATCGAATGTGAAAGCGCAACAATTGAAGGATGAAAAGACACGAATTGACGATACCGAGGCACAGGTACAAAAAATCGTTGCCTCTGTCTTTAAAGAACATAAAATACCTCTGAAGCATCAAAATGTTAATCAGGAACATGGTAAGGATGGTACACCGTCATCTAGCAGTGGTCAAACTGTCAAATCTCAAACGTCGTCGCAAAGCTCACAGGGGCAGGTATCTTCCAAGGATGAAAAAGCAGACATGTCTACATCGAAATCTGTTAACACGGTTAAGGTTTTCAAGAGATTCGTCGTTAGGAAACCAGGTAATACCGGTGTAGAAACGTCATCTATAACGTCGACGGGGAAAGAATCCGTCGCTGAATTGTCCAATCTTTTAACCCAAGCTACGTCATCGGGTGGACACAAGGTCACGAAAAGAGTTATAGTACGTAGAATCATTCGACAGGGTGATACTACGAGAGAGGTAATCATGAATCCAGATGGTACGGTAATAGATCCAGCTGAATTGGCTAAATTACCTACCGGTAATGTTGTTAAAAGAGTTATCGTTAAAAAGCCATTGGATAAAACTTCTGGATTGGTACAGGCCGTTCTTCAATCCTCTCAGGATACACGGCCAACTACTACCACATTGAAAACAAACGAAACTATGGCAACCGACTCGCCAAAGTTCGAATTAAAGACCTCACAATCGTCTAACATGTCATTGCCAACGTCGAAGACAACAACGGTAGGACAAAAAATAAGTGGTGGTCTTACGAAGGACGATCAAGAGACTAAAGAGAAATTGGAACAATTGGAGAAACGTGTTGAACAGCAACGCCTTAAGATCGAGGAATTACAAGCTAGAAAACAACAGGAGTACGAACCGATAGACGAGATGTTACCAGAAAGACATGATGAATCTGAGGACGAACAACAATTACCATTAAAGAGGGTGTTCGTTAAGAGGAAACAAAGTATTTACGATGAGGAACAGGAATATAACGATGACGTTAAACCAATTACCTTTACCAGTTCTTCCGAGAAGGATGATAACGAACAGCAAGATACTAAAGATGAGAATCAGGATAATTTTCAAAAATTACCCGTTATAACGACTACAGCGACTACAACTACGATAACGACGGATACCGTACAACTCGAAGTTCCTTCGTTATCGACAACGGTCCCTACATTGACAACCGTACCACCGTCTACTACGACGACAGCCTTGGTATTGGCCACTCCTATTTGTACACCTCGTAAAGAAACTAGACAAGCTACCTTGACAAGCTCAAAAGTATACGGTAACAAAAAGATAATAGTTGTTAAATCTGAGGAAACATCGGAGGTTGACGAAATGAATCGGGAACTTAGCAGCATACTCGATTCGGCTGATACTGTTGCGAAAATTCAAGAAACAGTATTAACGAATCTTACGCAAATTTCAGGGGTCGGTGATAATTCTCAAAAGTCTTCTTATTCTGGTGATAAATTAAAAGTCGCGTCTCATGTAACGGGATCTACAACGCCAATGGAGATCGAGGAAACTACGATAACCGAGGAAGAAACTATCAATGATAAGGAAGAAAATTTGAAAATTCAAAGGGTCGTAAGCATGGACGTATTGGATACACAGGTTATTGAATTTAAGCCTGAATTGGAACATACCACGGAACAGATCGTTGAACAGGACGATAATCAAGAATCATCTTTGACATTGGACACTCAAGATCTGTCGGAGTCGACAGATATTTTTGAACCATCTGACAATGTTCTCGACGTACAGAAAAATGATAATACATTGGAGGATTCGGTTATCGAGTTGCATCATGAGAACGAGTCGATTAATTTGAACGACACTAATGACAGTCAGGACAGTCTCGAGGATAAACTATCGCAGATGGAGGGTTAAATTGCGGGATTATTTTATTATATTAAAAAGTGTCTCTCAAACTGAATCTACGATACTACTACTACTATTACTACTACTGCTACTACTACTACTACTACTACTACTACTACAATTATTACTGCTAGTACTACTACTACTACTTTTTAAAAAAAGTGCATCTTAAAATGATCTATTTCTTCTTCTTTTTTTTTTTTTATTTTTTTTTAGATATACATGTGGGTTTTCTTTTTGTGACATTAAAGTCCGGCAACCGACTTTAGAATTAATATTCTCCAATAAACATTATTGTATTATCACACACACACACATACATATGTACATTCTATCGAGATATTTCATTCGTTTGTTAACAGCTATAATCACACACACACACACACAAACATACACGCGCGCGCATGCGAGCGCATACAGACATACACACACATACTTTTTTTTTTATTTTTTTCCTTCAATGAAATAACTGTTGAACGATCGTCATATGAATATCATATCCACATATTAATAATCATATCCACAATTTCATTAATTATAATTATTAAATTAGTTATTGTCCTATACATTTTATTTCTATTCGGGGGGGGGGGAAAAAAAAGAGAAGAGAAGGAAAGGAAAGAAAAAAAGGAAGAAAAGAAAAAACAGGGAATAAAGACAGAAAAATAAATTAACGATTTATTTAGAAACGATCGACTATATTTTTTTTTTTTTTTTTTTTTTCTTTAAAGTAGTGGTACACATTTTAGCGATTTATTGAACAAGTTTAGTTGGATATGTTTAAATGTATGTTTAAATGCTCTAAATGAAAGATTTTAATGAATTAGTTTCGAGTGATCAATGGATACGTCATTTTAATAAAATATGAAGTTACATATACATACATACATATATACATACATACATACATATTTATATATGTAACTTCTAGCGTGTAGTTAAAAGTTTACTACGAAATCAAGAAGAATGGTGGTGCATATATACATATTAAGAATTGTTTTAAGACTATTTGAAATTATCTCTATCGGATAAAAAAAGAACAAAAGAAAAAGAAGAAAAAAAAAATTAATTATATATATATATATATATATATATATGTATATGTATATGTATATATATATATATATGATTATTATTATGGTATATAGATATTAGTAAATATGTTGTACATGCTAAACTTCATTGGTCTTATTATTTGGTTTTGTTTTTTATGGTTTCGTTTTTTTTTTTTTTTCAGACATCCCACCCTGGAAAATAAATAAACATCGATTGTACAGTTTTATACAATATATAATATACTTTATTTTCTATGGCAGATGGTAGCTTGCATATATTAAAATGTACATTTTAATTGTCGTCGTATTAATGTTAATCATGTATACATCATCTCGGTTTATATAAATATTTTCGGAAAAGGAATTTCGATATCTGAATTTACGAGAAAAAAGAAAAAATAATAATAATAATAATAATAATAATATTAATGATAATAATAATGATGATGATGATGATAATAATAATAATAAAAAAAAAATATAATAATAATAATAATAATAATAAAGAAAGAAAAATGTTAATGGTCGATAGATTAAATAATATATGTTATATTATGAAAGTAATCTTTTCATTTATTGTGAATAATATGAAAAACTTAATTAATTAGAAATGAATTGGTTGTTACCATAACTATATGGAATTATATATATATACACATATACATATACATATATATATATATATATATATATATATATATATATATATATTATAAATACATTTCTCTTATCCTTTTTCATTTTTATTTTTATTTTATTTTTTATTTTTTTTCGATGATTCGACGGAATCAGGATTTTGATCCTTCCTGCACCCCCCTTCCCTCCCTTAATGTAAGCAATCAAATACGAAATGTTATTTTGAGAATATAAAAAAGGATAAGCGGGGTAACAATACAATTTTGTTAGACGATTTGGCAAAATGTTTTTTTTTTCTTTATTTATTTTTCTGGTTTTTTTTTTGTTTTCTTTTTGTTTTTTTTTTTTTGCTTTTCGTTTTTTTTTTCTTTTCGATTTCCATTTTCTTTTGATCGTCGTCAATGTCGTTGGATAGGTCGTAGGTGTGGAGAGCATGCGTTGGATGAGCGGAAAAAACCGTAGAACGATAATTCGAGATTATTATTAATTAACAATTAACGATATTATAATTCGTGAAAGCAAAGTTGTCACAGGTGTGTCAATATGCGTTTCGTAATTATATAATTAATCGTCTTTGGCCTGTCCAGGTGTTTGCTTCTTTTTTTCTTTTTCTTTTTTTTTTCTTTTTTTTCTTTTTTTTTTTTTTTCTTTTTTTTTACGGTATTTTTTGTTCTTTTTCTATAAAATTATATTAGTAAACTTTTCATTGTTATTAATTATCTCAAAATGTCAGATAAGAGATATATAAGAATTATATATATATATGTGTGTGTGTGTGTGTGTGTGTGTGTGTGTGTGTGTGTGCGCGCGTGTGTGTATATATATATATGACACATTTTATTACATGTATTATATAAAATGTGTCATTCCGTACGATTATTATTACATGCAGTTAACCAGTTAACCCATCTCCTCATTTGTTCATGTCGATCGTTTTTCAAGGCAGCAGCAAGTACAAGAGAAAAAAAAAATGAAAAAGAAACATTCAAAGGAAGAGTTTAGTAAATTGGCATATATGTGGTTGATTAATTAGTGACGCTCAAGCGGGATGGACGTTCTTCCTTCCGGTAAGATTCTGGAGCTGTAAAACAATAGTTTTTCCGTATTTTTATCATTGATCTCGATTATCTTCTTTTTGGTTTTTTTTTTGTTTTTATTTCTTTTCTTTTCTTTTTTTTTCATTCTCTTTTTTGAATATTTTTTTTTTCTTTTTTTTTTTTTTTTTTTTTGTTCGCTCTCTCTCTCTCTCTCTCTCTCTCTCGTTATGTTGGTCTCTTTAGAGTCCTCCTCTTCCGCTGTCTATGTACTCGAACCTCTGCGAGATAGAGACGATGATAAAAACTATGTGAAAATGATTTAACACCGAACGATGATAAATAATCGATTTTCTCTTATTCAACGTGTATGCATTTTTAGATATCCGTCAATGCTATAATATTCTATCAGTTTTACAAATCGTCGAAGGATTTACTTTTTAAACCGAATAACTTAACTTTTTTTTTAATCGAATTGATTAACTCAACTTTAATGTAGTAAAGGAAAATATCGTACGGTTAATTGAATTATTATCTATTATCTATTATCTATTATCCTTTTTATTGTTTTTTTTTTTTTCAATATTTGATCGTTCGATCGATATTTTATGTTGATTATTTATTTATTTATTTATTTATTTATTTATTTATTTTTTTTTAATTGTTATTTTTTATGATAATTAATTGATCAATATATATGAATAACTACGATTATTATATTTATCCATCTAATATCTAATCTAAGTATAATTAATTGTAGCCTTTATTTATTTATTTGCTTTGCTTTTCTTTTTTTTTTTTCTTTCTTCATCGTCGCCTTATCTGTAATTAATCTGTTATAATTCTTTTTTTTTTTTCTTTTCCTTTTTTTCTTTTCCTTTTTTTTTAAATTCGTGGATTACTTCTTTAAGATGTAGATATAAAGTTATTCGGTTTGAAAATATCTTCGAATATATTTTTAAAAAAAGACACTGCATATATTTAAAGTGTTTTATATATATATATATATATATATATATATATATATATATAATTTATTACAATATTGTATAAATATTTCTTAAATATCATACCTCTTTCTCTTCCATGGCTACGGTCGCGTATTGCCTTGTAGATATTTCTTCTTTCTTTGCTGGACCAACAGCATGTGTATAAATCAAACCACCAGCGAGTCCACCCAGAATAGGACCAACCCAATATAACCAATGATCATTAAAGGCATTCATAACAACGGAACTTCCCAATGATCGTGCTGGATTCATTCCAGCACCTGTTCTTGGAACCTAAAATGTCAGACATGATTAAATATTTCGATAATTTTTTTCTTTTTCTTTCGTTTAATATTTTTAGGTAATATACGTCGACATATGTCTAAATGGAATAAACGAGTATAGTTATTGGTCTAATTCATTTTTTTGTTCGTTTCTTTTCTTTTTTTTTTGTTTATAATAATAATATAGAATGTTTATTAGATTTCATGTTTTTGTTTATTTATTTATTTATTTATTTTTTTTTTTTTTTTCATTTGCACTCATTTTATTCCATTCAAAAGTATACAATTTTTCTTTTTATTAGATTTCATTAGGTTTTGTCGAAGTTAATTTTATATTGATAATATATACGGGGTAAACAATATAATGATTAATCCATACTATATTTATTTTTTTTTTTATATATATATATATATATATATATATATATATATATGTATATATATATATATAGAATAATCATTATTATATATAGAATAATCATTAGATTTAATTGTTCATTCGTATTCGTTCTGCTCTATTCGAGTGTGTAAATTGGTTTATTTTTTTTTTCATTGATTTTTTTTTTTTGATTTTTTTTTTTTTTTGATTTTTATTAAGTTCTTGTAGACGCAATGACGATGATTCCATATAGATGGGGATAAGAAATATAGGAATTAGTTATACTATATTTTTTTTTTTTTTCTTTCTTTTAATAACAATGACGTAGCATATTCGTTAGACTTCATTTTTTCATTCGAATTTATTTACATTTATTCGAACGTGTAAATTTAGATTTTTATTAGATTTTTATATACGCAATGCTGATAATTGCATATAGACGATGTAAACAAATATATTGATTAGATGTACTATATATATATATATATATATATATATTTTTTTTTTTTTTTTTTTTTTTTTTTTTTTTAACAATAATGATAAAGATTATTTATTAGATTTCATTTGTTTCATTCGAATTCATTTCACACATTTGAACGTATAACTTTTTATTATGTCTTTTAGATTTTAATAAATAAACATTTCTTATATTACTTTTTAATATCCAATATAGGTAGTCTGTAAAATATTCTAAATCTTTGTTATATCAAAGGAAAAAGAAAAAGAAAAGAAAATATATATATATAAAAAAAAAAAAAGAAGAAAAAGAAGAAGAAATTATCAAATACCATGTACTTAATGATCGACGTTCCATTACTTATCACATTATTATTGTACTGTTTTTATAAAAATAAAAAAAAAATAAAAAAATAAAAAAGAGATAGAAAAAAGATAGAAAAAAAGAAAACAAATTAAAATTATCCCTTACACCAACTAGATGTCCAACGGTAACGGAAAGTCCAATCAGCAATGGTGCTATTCCTTTACTGTCAGGCTTTGCACCGTCGCAGGCACCACAAACTACCATAACCAGTATCAACGCCAAAAAAAATTCAATTCCAAGACCTTGAACTGGTGTAACCCCATCGGCAAGAGATACAACGCCAAGACTGACTTCCATGCTTTCGGTTGAGAGTGCCCTTAGTACTGCCGAGCCGGCAATGGCACCGGCACTTTGAGCCAAAACGTAAAGAAAGCCACGAATGATTGGTACCTAAAACAAAAAAAAAAAGAAAAAGGTAACGATATATAACACATTTATTTATTCCATGTTTGTTTAAATTTTTGAGAAACTAAAAATCGAAGTTGTACGAAATTTTAACTATAATGATAATAATAATTTGGAATTTTTCAACAAAATCCCACCGTGCATAAAAAAAAAAAAAAATAGCTAAGCAAAAGATCAGGACAATTTTTAATACCTTCTAATCGTAAAGAGTTAAAAATTAAATTGTATATCATTTAAAAATTTCAAAATTAATAATTGAGTTCAAAATTAAAATCAACATCATTTGTAAGTATATATATATATATATACACAAACATAGACACACACAAATATATACAAAAAATAATTTTTTCCAAGGATTTGAAATATTTTTTTAGAAAAAAAAAAAAAAAAAAAAAAATAACGCAAAAATGAAGCCTAGACTGAAAGATTATGTTGTATTTTCTTTTCTGGTTTTTTTCTTTATTTATTTCTCTCTCTTTCTCTCTATGTCTATCTCGCTCTCGCTATCTCTCTCTATCTCGCTGTCTCGCTCTCGCTATCTCTCTCTGTCTCACTGTCATTCTCTCTTCTGTCACATGAAATCATTCCTGATTAATCATATTAATTATTCGAGGTATATATATATATATATATATATATATATATATGGAAAGTATAAAAATAAATCTGATAAATACGTAGATGTATTGAAGAAACATAATAGAATATGTTTTCCTATTCTGTTGTCTTTACATAGTTACCCGACAAACGTAATTATATATCCATCAGAGAGCTATTATGTATTAACCATTACGCCGCAATGTATGTGATAATTTATTCAATCGCGATATATCATTAGGTTCCTCTTACCTCATTAATTGATAATAACGTTTGAATAAACGTGATAAATCATGCCGCCTAACTGTTAAGATACATTTTTGGTGGCAATTTTAAACGACTAATCGATGATTAATGATTATCATATTAATATCGAATGTCGAAGATGATAGAGACAGACAGTGAAAGGTTTTAATTAATTTATTTTCAAAAAAAAAAAAAAAAAAAAAAAAAAAAGAAAAAAAAGGAAAAAAAAAAGAATGAAAAGAAAAGAGAGAAAGAATTATATTAAAATTTGTATACGAGAAAAATAAATAATATTATTTTATTCATATAAAATAATAAATTTATACCTTTCCAATGATCATTAAGCCAAATGTAACGGCAGGATTTACGTGACCACCAGAAACGTGACCTATCGATTGTATTGCAGCGGCCACGGTCAAACCAAATGCAAGGCTTATCGCCACAACATTTTTCGTTACGACCGATCCACAACCGAAGAAATTTAACAGCATCGTACCAAGAAATTCCGCAAGTAAAGCCCGGTAAAGACCGGACTGTTTATCTGTTAGCTCGTTAGCACCAATTGCTCCTTTTATATCCACCATCTGCAAACATAAACGTATCGTTTTCGTCATAACAAATTTATTTCATAAAAATAAAAAAATAAAAAAAATATATATATACATATATAACTAAATTTTTAAATATAATTAATATGTAAATTATTTTATATAAATTATTAATAGATAAATTATTAAATATATTTTATATATATATATATATATATGTATTTATAAATAAATTTTTATATATAAAAATATATTATATATAGAGGATAATTATAAATTGAATATATATATGTGTGTGTGTGTATATATATTAAAAAATTAAGATTATATATTAAAAAAAGCTTTCGCGATTTTATGTGTACAATATTTAAAAAATACGAAATATTATAAAATTGAATGGTTATTGATTTTTAATATTTATTATCGAATACTTGGTATATTTTTAATCGTTTGTCTTCAAAAAAAAATTAATCAAATAATTATTTGACATGTAGTTGATAATTAATGAGATATTAACGTGTATATTTATATGTGATGTAATATATAAAATATATAAAAATAAATGTAACAATCTTAACATTAACGTTACTAAGTCTGTTAATAATTGAAAACGAAAGATTTTTGGAATTAATTTATAATAACAAAAAAAAAAAAAAAAAGAAAAAGAAATATAGAATGACAGTTTATTTAATTCAAATATTTTATTTATTTAAATATTTCAATTTTAATTAAAACAAAAATTATTATTTTCTTTTATGCACAATGTTGTAATCATATGTCTTTCAGTATACTACTTTTTATTATTAATATTTCATATACATTAAATATATTTATTATTAAAATAATTAAGCATAATAAAAATAATAATAATAATAATAATAATAATAATAATAATAATAATTCCGATATAAATTTTCTTTTTTTACGGTCAAAATTTATTTCATTTTATCGAACAAAAATTTATACATATCGTATACTTCGATATTTGTTATTTCAAAATGATTGTAAATTAACGATCCGTTTGAATACTTCCTTTGTTGTAGAACCGATAAAAAGAGAAGAAAAAGATAGATATATGAAAAAAAATTTTCACGATTATACGCCTGAAATATTTTAAGAGTACAAAATGAAACGTCGAATTAATTATTAAACTTAAGTCTCGTTTGATATTAATAATTTTTATTTATTTATTTATATATATATTTTTTAATATAATTCATAAAAATATCTAATTAATTGAAAACATAGAAATTTTTAGATAGACGCCCTAAGAGATAAATCATTAAAAGTCATTATACTATTGAGACGTAAATCATTCCACAATAGTTTTTTTCCTCTATCTCTCTCTCTCTCTCTCTCTCTCTCTCTCTCTCTCTTTCTCTCTTTCTCTCTTTCTGTCTCACTGTTTAAAATGAGAAAAAAAAACATCATTTAATCTCTCTCATATTGCACTGTTGTTCCAGATAAAACATAACAACGATCAAGGCAACGATAATGATGCATAAACAGGTATTAAAAGCAACGGGTGTTTTTTTTCAATTTTTTTTCTTTTTTTTTTTTGTGTGTTTTTTTTCTCTATGTCTAACACTTTGCCTGGATTCTGAATCTGACAGAATACTTGAGTCATGATCGATAAATTTTTTCAAGTTTATATCGTTACGAAGGGCTACGTATGAAAGTTTTTATATCCTAAATTCTTCCACCTCCCTCCCTCACACCCTCTCTCCCTCATTCTACCTCTCTCATTTTATCTCACGCTTTCATTCAATGGTAGTACCGTTTCTTTTACCGTTAATCACGAAAAAAAGATTGAATAAATCTCTGAAGTGTTGTTCACTTCCCTACTTTGTTCACCGACCGTAATAATTTGTGGTAAAATATGCTGGTTGAGAATAATAATATAATCGATAAAAAGTATTACGTTTGTTTTTAGAAAAAAAAAAAACAGAAAGAAATAGAAAGAGAGAGAGAGAGAGAGAGAGAGAGAGAGAGAGAGAGATTTATGTACATTAGAACGTAACAAGTGTACAAATTAAAGATATTGCGATGATAAATGTTTACATTTGTCACTGTTAAGTGACAATGACGACATGATCGATTGAACGACAAAATCAATGAAAACAAAATAAAAAATAATTTTTAAATTCAATCTAATAAATATAAATATACGATATAATAAGAGATAATAGTAATAGTAATAATAATATAATCGATAAAAAGTATCACGTTTGTTTTTAGAAAAAAGAAAAAAAAAACCGGAAAGAGATAGAAAGAGAGAGAGAGAGAGAGAGAGAGAGAGAGAGATTTATATGCATTAGAACGTAACAAGTGTACAAATTAAAGATATTGCAATGATAAATGTAAATACTGTTAAGCTAATGATCGATTGAACGACAAAATCATTGAAAATAAAATAAAAAATAATTTTTAAATTCAATCTAATAAATATAAATATACGATATAATAAGAGATAATAGTCAATCGAATAAAAGCAACACTGGAATATCTGAAATTTAATAAATACATGAGTACGATATTAGACAATAAATATTTTAGTTAAATATTTTGTAATGATTTTGCGAATAGCGTTAAGTGTATGATCGAATGAATAACAAAATTGTCAAAAAGAAAATAAAAAAAAATATATATATATATATATATATAAAAGAATAGAAACAATGCCATAATATCTAAAGTTTAGATGAATACGTATAATTTTAAGATATTACATTGATACATGTTAATGGTGTTAAGCGTAAAATTGTCAAAAATAAAATAAAAAAAAAAATATATACATATATATATAAATATAAAAGAATAGAAACAATGCCATAATATCTAAAGTTTAGATGAATACGTATAATTTTAAGATATTACAATGATACATGTTAATGGTGTTAAGCGTAAAATTGTCAAAAATAAAATTAAAAAAAAAAAATATATATATATATATATATTTATATAATTAGAAACAAAGTCGTATCTAAAGTTTCAATAAATACGTGTATAAGATGTGAAAGTAGTAGTAACGATAATAACGAATACAAATGAGATAGGATGATAGACAGTGACAGTATGTGTGACGTATCGAATACATTTAGCGATTCACCATTGGCTCGTTCTGCGAATTTAGATCGAGGACGGTTAAACGGCGAGGGGGGAAAAAACGTCCGCCGATAGAAACGATACGAAAGCTTATTTTACGATTTTAACGAGTCATCAGATATATCCAGGTTAACATTACGCATGCAGATCAGTACATCCTCGGATTGACAAGAATTTACCGGTGTTGGCAACTTGGTAATTTTCGATAGACTCGAATTACTTAATAAGTTCCTGGCAAGTGGAGTCGATTAATCGGTCATTCGTTTTATTAACAAATCGATGTGTTTATTTTTTTTTTTGTTTTTTTTTGTTTTTTTTATTATTATTATTTCTTTTTACTTTTGTTTGTCTCTTTTCCTCTTCTTTTTTCTTTCAAGAACTTGTATAATGATACTACGAGAATTAATTTTGTATATATATATATATATATATATATATATATATATGTATATATATATCTTTTTTTTTTCTTTGTATCTTTTTTTAGTAAACCGCAATGATAACTGAAGTTGATTAGAGTTATATAAACCGACATTTTATTTCCTCTTTATTTCCTTTATTCTTTTTTTTCTTTCGATAATTTGAATGATTCTTCAAAACATATATCTAATATATATGTATATATATATATATTTTTTTTCTTTTATTTAATTAAATGATAATTAAGCTTGATTAATCGGTCATTCGTTTTATTAGACATCGATGTGTTATTTCCCATTTTTTTTTTCGACACTTTTGAACAACGGTTCTTCGAAACGTTATCTATATATATATATATATATATATATATATATATATATATATATATATACACATATACTTCTCGTTTTTAATTAACCGCATAAATAACTGGAGTTAATTAATTGGTCACTCGTTTTATTAAAAACTGATGTGTTATTTCCTTTTCCTTTCTTTTTTTTTTCGACAATTTAAATAATGATTCAAAGATGCGTTTAATATATGCATATATAGAAGATTTAATATATGGGTATATGTATATATATATATCCTTCTTTTTTTTTTAATTAGCCATAATGAAAACTAGAGTTTAATAATTGGTCAGTCGTTTTATTAAAAATCGAAGTGTTATTTCTTTTTTTTTTTCTTTTTCGACAATTTGGACAATGATACTTCTTGACGTAATCTAATATTATTTATATATATATATATTTTTTTTAATTTTAATTTTTATTATTATTTATTAATTATTATTATTATTTTTATTATTTTCTTTTATTTTATTTATTTTCTATTTTCGATCCTTTTAATAACTTGATCAATGACTCTTCTCAAATACGATCTAACATACATATATATATATATATATATATTTTATTTTTTTCATCTTTTTTTCATTTTTCTTTAATTAATCACAAATGATCGATGATCAAACACAGCGTCTCAAAAACTGGCCGATCCTCTTAACGTAAGCAGGTATATATGTACATACATACAATATAAGTTTAAAGGCTCTTATCATGCAAATAGAAAGATTAATCTTATCTAAAGCTTGAATAGAATTAACCTGGATCTGAACTCTAATTCCATTAATATAATCATATTTGAACGGATCGATTTCAATTCTTTTCTTTCTCTTTCTCTTTCTCTCTCTCTCTCTCTCCCTCTCTCTCTCTCTCTCTCTCTGTCTCTGTCTCTGTCTCTATCTCTCTTTTCTCTTTCTTCATTTGATTCGGTGATCATTCCTTTAGGTATGATTACGCAAACGGGTAATATCATCAACGAGATATGTCTCTAAATCGTGTCTTAACGAATATTGTGGAGGTGGCTGCTTGATTTCACGATGATGTCACACATATACACATACAAATATGTATATATATATATATATATATATATATATATATATATATATATATATAATAGAATTTATAATAGAATTATAAAATAAATAGAATTATATAATAGAATTATAAAAGCATATATATATATATATATATATATATATTATATACTTATACATCGATGTGTGCGAGATCGTTACTTCCACCGTAAGTAATTCACAGCAACGATAAGTTCGTTGTGTTACCATAAACTCATATGTACGATTTACACAGTTAATTCGCCGTGCGCTAATCATTACGAAATCTCGCGAAGGCGATACCACCAGCCATTTTACAATGGACCGAGATAGGATGTTATGCTCTTTTAATATTCAGTCTTAGTAATCGTAGTTATTGGTAATACGTGACGAATAATATGAAGTATCACTTTGAATTTTTTATTATGGAATATTATGGAATATTATGTCTCTGATAAGTTAATTAAAAAATAAATAAATAAATAAATAAATAAATAAATAAATAATTACATTAATTTAATAAAATTCTATTTAATTAAAATTCTATTAAATTCTATCTTGTAATATTATCTAAAAAAAAATGTATGTGTGTGTGTGTGTGTGTGTGTGTGTGTGTGTGTTATTGAATTTACTTTTATAGTACAGTTTATATATGTGTATGCAATATAGATAATATCTGATATTACATATGATATATATTTTTTATGTATGTATGTATGTACATATATATATATATATATAGAGTGTAACAATTAAATATCTTCGTTATTTATGATTTTATGGAAAAAAAATCATTTTTACGTAATAACACTGTTTGAAGGGTAGTTGGGAGGGTGACAGGGGGGTGCACATAGCGATAAGATAATTTTTTTCTGATTGTTAATTTTTTCAAAAAAAATTCGAGATAATCACTGTTTCTCATTTAAATGGAATCATACATCCTTTTATTACGTTTACCCCGATAAATCTCGTAATACTGTATAAAAAAAAACAAAGAAATAAAAAAAGAAAAGAAATAAATATGTATCTATTTATATCGAAAGAAATCATTTGTTTAAAAGATACTTTAACGTCGATATTGTTAAATAAATCATTTGATACAAATGTAGTGAAATTTAATAGATAAATAATAAGATTGCAATGGCAATTAATAAAGCAATATTAAAATTAAAATATTTTTCCATCTACATGGAATAATACTTCTTTTTTTTTTCTTTTTTTTTTTAGAGAGAGACAGAATTATAAGCTGTATCGACTAATGCATTAAAGAAAAAAAAAAGCATATGATTCATTTAAAGAAATAGTAATTACCTCGAAACCTTTTTATAAAAATGACCTTGGAAAATAAATTATCTTATTGCCACAATTATATATACATATGTATATATATATATATGTGTGTGTGTGTGTGTGTGTGTGTGTGTATGTGTGTGTATATTCAACAAATATATTATATCAAAATAGTTCTCTATTTGTATCTAATAGTGTCATGAAAAATTGTATGTATGTGTATATGTATATTTAAGAGATATACTATACTACAATAGTTTTAAATTTGTATATTTAATAGTTTAAATTATTAAATTTGTATATTTAAATAGTTTAAATAAAATATCGTGAGAAATTGTGTATATACACACACATATACACTCACGCTCACACTATATAATTTATATATCATTATATTTAATTTATATATATATACAATATGAAGATATATATTGAATGGAAATATTAAAAAAAAAATTCTACATTTATTCCCTTGGAATTAGTTTTCGTTCTCGGCCTTTTTTTGTTCTGTCTTATTTCTTTTCTTTTTTTTTCTTTTTTCCTTTTTTGAACTCACACTCTATCGATAACTTTTCGGTGCGTTAGACGTATAAAAAGAAAAAAAAAAAAGAAAAGAAAGAAAAAAAGAAAAAAGAGGAAAAAAAAGGAATAGAAAAAAAAGAAAAAGGAAAGATTGAGACATACTTGGATATCGAATTGAATTACTACAAATATATTGTAACTGTTGAATGGGTGGGTTTTTCTAAAGAATATAGGCGACGCGCATATTGATTCGTTCCTGGAATCTGTAGAAACTATTTCTATCGTTGATTCGACGGTATAAGATGATTCTACAATGTAAAATCCCGAATGGATTATCTTAGTCAGATTTTGAATCTTAACTGGTTGATTTCTACGATTCACGTGAAAGCAGAAATAAAAACCGGTTGATTTGACACAAATTAAACGCGGGTTGCGTTCCCGTAGATTTATCGAGTATATATGGCACCGCTTCGTTCTTAAACGGTCGTTGTCCTTCTATGGTTGCTTCTGACTCTAGTTCTTGTCTCTCTCTCTCTCTCTCTCTCTCTCTCTCTCTCTCTCTCTCTTTCTTTCTCTCTTTTTCTTTTTTTTTTATTCTCCATTTTTTCTCTTTTTCTTTTTCCTTTTTTTTTTTGTTTCTATATCTCTCTTCCCTATCTCTTACTATATTTGTCTTACTGTATTTCCTTTCTATTTATCGATAGTATCAATAGTTTGAAACATTTTCAATCGCCAGTACTAAATGATCATTATTCATGATAAAATATATATTGAATAAGTGATCAGTATTATATTGATTATTTAATATTTTAATTTAAAAAAAAAATATATAAAAAAGAAAAATTAATATAAAAGTTAATATAAAAAAAAAAAAAAAAAAAAAAAAAGAAAACCTGTATTATTTAATATTTCAATCAAAATGTTACGCAGATACGATATATGCGTGAAATATTTTATAAATAATTTCATATATTTTGTTTTTAGATGAGAAAAATTTTTCGAATAGAAAAAATATTATAAAGTTTGATTTATTTAGATATAAAATTATTAAATACGCATAAGATTTTGTTTCTCAAATAAAAATTATTCAAGTATTATCTATTATTTATTTGGACATGAAATATTTAATATCTTTTATAAAAGATATTAATATTGTTCATATTAAATATAAATTATTAAAAATATTTCATTAGGTATCGGCCAATTCAATTCAAAATATATTTAAATCATTACATGTTAACTTTCAATCAAGTTTTTTTTTTTGTACATTTT